ATTCTAGAGCATGTGTTAAATGTTTACATCACCCTGTCCACCGCAACTTGTTCTGTGGAATCTGTGGAATGTAAGTCAAATGTTACAGCTTAAATGAATGTGCATCAACAGGCAACCAATTCATCATTTTATTAACACCTATACCGTGTTATATATTGATTGCTTTTCAACATCTGTCAGGCATCCTGACGACCCCTGTTATAAGGACTAGTAATATCCCTTGTATTTCACAATAGAAACTTAATTCCCATGTCCCATATATGTGTTACGTTACTAAAAGTGTCATTTTACATTCTTCTGAAAGTATCAGTCGCCTCCTCGGTTTCAAAATTTAGACCTTTAACATCACTGACAAATTCTAGAAAGACGAGACAGCTGTATGATGCAGAAAAAAAGTCATTATTAAGGTATACTCTCTAAGTTAGGTCTAATTATAGGTATGTGATGAAAAGAGCTAACTACTAGTGTGTCTTCGTTGATTTTTTTAAAAATATAGACAAATGATGAAACCAAGTGTTTGCAGTTTTCATTTGTTTTTTTTTAATTATTTGTGCTTATATGACAATGACTTTCAAGCAAATAAATATGTGCACAACCTTTTACATTGTAGCACGATAACTTTTTGTCTATAAAAATATTGCACGTGGACATAATTACAGCATATGTGAAACAAAAGGCCCATGGGGCTTGATAGTCATCTGACTATAAAGACCTATATATGAAAGAGGCGAAATAGGCCGAATTTAACATGTTGCTCAATTACTCTACAGCTTAGATAGAAGACATTGTTGGTTCAAGACATTTTCTGCAAAGTTGAAATCATAGTCTTTATAAATACACTAAACAATTGCCAATACTCTTCATGTATTGCTTGTTGAAAAAACAAGCTACATGCCCAATATCAAGACCCTTGGCCTTTCGGTTATTGAACTGAAGTTGCTTAAGCATTTAAACACATTTGACCCCGGTGACCTTGAAAGTCGGTCCCATTTCAGCACTTTATGCGTTTTGGTTATTGAGAAGAAGTCATTCAAACATTTTAACATATTTGATACCTGTGACTGAAAGTGAGTCTATGTCATTCATATTAACACAGTTGGTAGCCCTACATCCTAGCATGATACAGGCTCACTATCATTATCCTGGGCCTTTTGGTTATTGAGAGGAAATTGCTTTGGCATTTCAACACATCTGACACCCGAGACCTTTGAAAGCTATCTAATATCAGCACCCTGGCCCTTTTAGTTATTGAGAAGAAATCATGTAAACTTTTTAACACATTTGATACCTCATACCTGTGACCTTGAAAGAGGGTCAATGGCATTCATATTTACAAATTTGTTAGCTCTTCATGCTAGCATGCTACAGGCTTACTATCATCATCCTTGGCCTTTTGCTTATTGAGAAGAAGTCATTTAAACATTTCAACATATTTGATCCCTGTGACCTTTCAAGTATATCAAAGTCATTCATGTTAACCATTAACTTTCTGAATTTAAGAAATGATTCCCCGCTCTCAATGAAGTTTTAGACCAAATTTGGCTGAAATCCGTTCAAGCATTTAAAAGGGGTAGTGCTTTGAAGCAAAATATTGTCTTATTTTCCCTTTCCAGGCCCGGCCCACAAGTCCCTAGGGATCGAATCAAATTTCTGAATTTAAGAAATGATTCCTCACTCTCAATGATGTTTCAAATCAAATTCGGTTGATATCCATTCTAGCATTGAAAAGAAGTAGCATTTTGAAGCAAAATAATATTTTCCGTTTTGAGGCCCAGTCCCTAGGGGTCAAATAAAGTTTTTGAAATTAAGAAATTATTGCCTACCCTAACTGATGAATCAGATCAAAGTTTGTTGAAATTCACCCAGGCAGAAAGGAGGAGTAGGGTTTTAAATATAATTTCAGAACCTCAACATTTGGGGGCCCTATGCCACAACACATTTGGGGGCCCTGTCCCCCGATACAAATCACGCATGCAAAGGTAAGCAAAACTTCTGTCTTACTGTGTAACATCCCTCATTTTCAAATTGTTCACCAAATTACTATGTACAGACAAACAACTTACTAACAGTCATCTTTCAAAATTCAAATTTGAATCATACTGGTATCAGTGAGAGTAAAGAAGAAAATCTCTGCTTTTTACCTACCTGGAATTAATTCGATTGTTTCGTTATTTGAGTGAGTTGTTGAACTAGTAAGAGGATTATGTATGTCACATCTGATCACTCCTTCGTCCATGTCTGCCTGGAAGGCTATCTCAAATTCCATCGTTCGTTCAGTACTGTTACAGAGCCACTCACTCGGTGTGGTCTGAATATTTGAGACGGAAAGCTCACTGAACACTGAAGATCCTGAGGCTGCATACTGAACTTTGAACTCTCCAGCAGGATAGCCCACATCTCCCGAACACTTGTGTCTATGGTGACGGTTCAAGCTTGAGCCAATGACTTGGTGAGCATTCAAGTCAAACATAGGAACTGATGGAGAGCCTAACATAGGAAATATATCAGTTTTCAAACCAGATGCACATTAAATGTTATTTTGATTCTGACTTTTGAATGAGAGCATTTTATCTAGTATTAATAAGCAAAACAATAACAAGCATTAATATGACAATATTCTAATGTGACATGTTTTAACAGAGACACATATTCTTAGCACATAATTTTCAGAAAATAAAGGCATTATTTACTTTTACAACAATTTTTCTATTGGAAGATAGAAATATATTGATATGATTTTTTTCATCTTTGCACGCGTGAAAAATATAAAATTCTGTCACATTCATAAACTATTTAAACGTAACACCAAATTAATTAAATTTTCTGAAAGAAAATATTGAAATAACTAGAAAATAAATATCAGACATCCATTCCTCTAAATCAGAATCTAATTAGTTGTAGAACCAGGTGTCATGATACCATAGTCTGCATGTAAATGTAAAGAAAGCGTCATGATTCCTAAGATGTTGTATTTGTTTAGCCTGATACAAGACGCGACAGGACAGAAGAACAGAATTATCATATAATCAATACCTAACTACTATTGCCTGTGTTACGACAATTGAACTATATTTAAATACAAATCACATATAAAATGCACCATTATTGCAAGTATATCATGTGAAGTGATATACATCATAATGTGTATTGCTATTAAATGAATGACATTTGGATACCATTTATATATCAAGAGTATGATGGAATATGATGCGAAGTGGTCATACTTGTATCAATATATTGCGACATAAATATATAATACATTATACCGAAAGTAATCACATTTTTGTGTATCTTTTTGTTAATGTAAAAACAAGTGAAATTATTTCTGTATCTGGAGAAGGATGAGTGATGTTTGCTCCAATATTATGTTCTAACGTCCTTACACTTGACAAGACTGCAAGTGTTTTCAGTTAGATGCTAAATGAAAATTTGTATATACCATCACTCGCTATATCCTGATAGAAGTTACTCATAAAACAGTATTCATCAAAACATATACCCTAAAACTTCTAACCCAGCTGATTTTTTTCTCCCAAAAATAGGCAGATTTCAACTAAAAATAAAGGAAGGACATTGCTAATGAGAGATGTCCATCTTTATGTCAGGGACAACTTTTACTTACGTCGGACTTGTAAGACTGAATCTGGTGATTGAATCTTGACTGACGCGTCATCATTCAATACACAGACATAATTTCCTGCATCAGTGCACTCCACAGCGGTAAAATCAACGACCACATTTCCCGAACTCATACTAGTAGTTACTCTGGGAGATAATGGCTGACTTATGGTAGATCCATTTACCCGAGCAACAAGCACATCTTCGGCAGGATCGAGGCGAACTACATCAATATATTTCCAGGTAGAATTAATTATCCTACACGTCATGGTTAGCCCGCTTCCACCAAGTACACCAACATATTCTGGCTGATCGAAGGATACATCTGTAACATGATTATTTTCGTATTATTGTTCCTCATATTGAAAATCATCTTCCATAAATATCTTGTTGCTTTCATTTCTACTCACTCTGTCTGCATATCACAAAGTATATATGATGAAATATTTAGTTACAAACATTGTGTTTTTCAGTACTATTAAATTAGGATGTACATCTAAAATAGTTCAGATGTGTCTCATTTTTATTATAGAGTTTAAGTTCTATGAGAATTTTATCTACATCTACACTAGTCGACAACAAGAGAAAAAACATTATGTTATAAAATGATCTGCTGACAGTTGCACAAAAGACACACAAGTGAATAACACTTTTCAATGAAAAAGTAAAACTAAGATCAGTACCGTCAAAATGAATTAACCTTCACCATAAAGCTGTTTCATGTCTCCAGGGCTCGACACTCATACTAATGGATGAACTTAGTTTGAAACTTGGGAGGCGAAGTGACCCTAATGATGCCATTTTAGGCCATATTACTTTTATCTAAACAAATTATAAATTTCGTAATGGACTATTTCAGAATGGCATACTTTCATTATCGACTTAGAAAACATAATGAAAACAAATAATAACTGACCTGGCAAAGCTGTGGTAGTCGACAGGGTTGTGCTTGTTAGTACTGTTGTCACTGAAAGACAAACAACTCCTTAAATAGTACCTTAAGAGCCAATGGTATCATACATACATGCTAATTGAGTATTCGGTAACAGCAAATCAACATAAATTAGCTTGAGCGAAATGTATGCATACTTATGATATGTAATGATTACCTGCTTCAGTAGTGGTTGTATGTCGCTCACCTACAAAAAACGAATTATATGTCAATTATAAAATGCTTCACGGATGACTTCGGGATTTTATAAATACCTGCGAAAATATTTACCTCATTCCTTATAAACAACATTCTTTCAAATAAAAATAATAATTAAGCATTCAATAAAATATGAAAAGAGCAGTTTCATATTTATTTAAATGTCCTCTTATGTTATCAAATCAGTCTATATGTCTTCAGTGAAGGTCATCCTATGATCAACACTATAAATTTAATATTGTTTGACATCTTTAGTTGTCTCACCGTATGCTGCACAGAATGAGCTTTCATAGTCTGCTGTACATGTTTGTGCTGAATCAGTGAAGTTGGTGAAATATTGCCCTGGCGAACATGTTTTATCAGCCACTTTTGTTCCACTTGCACACCAGACATATTGATCACACTTGGAGGGGTAGATGTTGACTGGTGGTATGTACCATGAACCAGTTGGATAGTTAGAACAGTCTAACGGATTGTCTGGGACTGTAATTGTATATTTATATTGTATAAGTGATATTATATATTTCAGTAATGAGTTACAAGTTCTAGTGAACTAGATTGGCAAGAATTAAAACAAACACGTGATTAACAGGCTTATATTATAAAAGTTTTGCATACAGCTGTATACAGACTTTAAAACATATTCTAGTAAACCCTTCATTTATTCACTTATGTTTCTAGTGCAACAAACAACATGATTTAGATTAATTTAACTGCTATGGAATGTAGATATTCCTCTGATACTTTGCTGTATATATTGCAAAAATAATATTAATAATGAAAACAGCATTTGTAAAGTAAGTGTAGCCAGTAAATACATAATTCATTGGATTAAGCTGCGTATTGTCTTCATGGTGATATTTTTGCTGATGTTTGATCGAAATGTAATTTCTTTTAATTAATATGATAACAAAATTTAAATAGTCCTATTCAATAATTATATTGTATGAAATATGTGCAAATAATCATACATCAAACAGATGTTGTTAGTAGAGAATAAAGCAAATTTCAGCTCCCAGAACCGATATAAATATCCAAATGTAGTGAAATGTTTGGTCATAGATACTCAGGAAAGTATAAACTCAGCAACACTTCATAGTTGATTTATATTCATCTTCATAGACACATTCTTTACATAACAGCACATAAAAGCAGAGCAAAAAATTCAATTATTAAGCTCTTTCCAATATTGTCAATATACCAAACAACATTATGAATATGAATCTATTTGATACAATTCTTTCCTCTCCCTTGGTTACGATCAATTTATAATACAACATATTAAATGCTATTATAGTTTGAAGATGGCTGAACAGTGATTATTGTGTTAGATAGAATATAAAACAGCGAGGTGGAGAATTTGTAGTTTCATTAAATGATATATTGTATAAATATACTACCAAAACAGTGATACATGTACCTTTGGATGTAGGTGATGCCACTGCAATGTTAAGGTTAATGGATAATTGGTATTATTTTTTTTCCCAAATATTTTCATTTTTCTTAAAATTCGAAATGGATAACATGGAGAAACAGTACATTACATTGTATATCGTAACAATTTAGTTTGCAATACTGACGCTAACACTTATGATAACATAAGAAGTAAAAATAAAGGGGGGGCTTATAGAATTGTATCATTAACACTAATACAATGAATATGAGGCTACCATTTCCTCAACATTCACTATTTACCATTTACGATTGATATTCACAAATAACGGAAATTGAAAATTTGTTAAGAAAAAGTTTACCATCATAGCAAAACATATAATAAATCGAATTTATCATTTAAACATTGATTATTGAAATATATACCCCAGATGCTATGAAACACATTCATCAGAATCACAAATACACTTATAGTTCAAGTGTTACAAGAAAACATTATGAGTTGACTAATAATTTGCAAACAACAAAGATATTGACCTGTCAACAGATTGTTTATTCAAAGTGTATAAAATTGGGATAACTTATGAGCAAAAGGAAGATCTAAATGGAAACTCCTGAAAAAGTACAAGTAGAATAAGACCGACCAGGTGTTCCGGAGGAGTAAGCATCCAGAAATGCGAAGTTAGGTCAATACAAATAAGCAATGTGTCGTTCTCAAAAAACAGATTAAACATTATAATAATTCAATTGAATCTAACAATTAAATAAAAATTGTCTACACTTTACTCAGTATCTGGTTGTATAGATGATATACAAAGACCTGTTACCTAATTGACCTCTGTATTTCAGCTCATTTACGTCTGTATAAATTTGCTGACTTGTCAGTAATTTTGTTGTTTACAACACTTCATTTCCAGGTATTAACTGTTTTTCAAAGGGTATCCATGTACATCTTTCCTTTTGTTTTTTATTTGGCCTAGTTCTATCAATTTGAGTTAAGATTTTGTTAACATAGCAATTTTATAAATTTTCTACTTTTTACGGAAAACATTTAGGTTAAGCTGTGGCAGTTAGGTCATCTTAGACAAAGTTTCAGGATGAGTTATTGCCACCCCATTTTCAACATGTTTGACTTCTTTTGGAAAACTCCTGAACCAATTTTATAAAAATTCTTCCATGGTTAAAGACGCAACAACATTGTAAATTGTATGGTCCCCAACCCCAAGGGGCCTGAGGAGCGGGGCCAAAATCGATTGAAACTTCACAAATCGTCTTCTCAAATCCCATATATGGTAGTATCAAATCCTCTTCATGGATGAAAAGACTTGCAGATGATTTACCAAAATTGTAAATTTCATGACCCCAGGGTCTCATTTCCTCCCTAAGGAATTAATTAATTGGCTGAAATTTCAAAGATGTTCTGGTGGTCCTGGATGTAAGATTTTGTATAAGAAAATTCAAATCTTGAATGGAACTTCTTTTAATTCAAACTTGGTTTGAAGTCTCAGCATGGGACATCAGTTAATGTATATAAAGTTTAAGAATAAAACACAATGCATGCATTGAAATCAGAATAAGATGGTTAAACGAATTAAGGCAAACGGTAGAATTGATCAATATTCATCTCTGCCATTTATATCTCTTGAGTTAGGAAAACTCTGATATTTGCTAAGTTATCAATAGAGAACTGTTTACTCTCCATGTAGTTACGATAAGCATTCTGAAGTATTACAATGATTTCCAAAACACTTACTTGTCGACGTCGTTGTTATTGATGTACCCCCTGTGAAAAAATACGTTAGAATTATGTTTCATTAATAATAAGACTTTCTTTAAAAGGAGTCATTACAATATGTATTGTAATACATTAGAGAGGTGACACATTAATACGTAGGAAAAATGTGATTATAAACGTTACCTGGATTACAGTGATCACATTGTGTAGAACAGTTACTATAGACCGGGTTGAAACAGAGAACTCCACATGGCTGGTCAATTATTACGCCATTCCCACAAGTCACGAATCGGTAACAGTCGTACGGATTTGCAACCTTCGTGTCGTTAGGTTCACACACGTTCACTGTAAAGCATGACACACTGTTATTTTTCATGTAGTAATCTTAAGTATACAGAGAATGATATTTGTAAGACCTACAAACATTTTCACAATGTTTTATCCACCTTGTAATGTTGCATGTGTGAGAGGGTGCGTTTGCTTGTTTCACATTTGACTCGTTTTATCGCTAACCTTATTTCAAATTAGATTAAACTGACCCAAATTTTGTGTGTATGACTTAGTTTGTACTTACCATGTAGGCTCATGAAAATTTTCAAAGAAAATCTAGAATTATCAATAAATAGTATACATGTCCCATTGAGGTTCTCTCATTACATTTCCATTCTTTGATTAAAAAATAGTAATAAAGGTATTCCCTTAATGTTATTTCTGTTTGTACATTCATCATAGATGTAATGGGTTTATTGTCATATTTGTACATCTGAACATTGACAGATACTGAAATAACTTGAAGCATTTTTTCTTCTTTTTTTCTTTTTTAAACTCAGTTTTTATAACTAAATGTAAAGATAGATGTCAGTACTGGTGCAAATTGATTTGATCAGGCAAAACACATTATCAATGTAAAGAACAAACAACTTACATGGGATAACAAGTAATGTAACATTATCAGAGGTTAAGGTCACGTCCTTTGGCTTTTTGGTGTCATTAAGAAAGGCGGAGCATCTTGCCACAGTACCATTCTGGCTGAAGGATGGGAACAACGTTGTCGTTACGGTCCGGGTCACCATACACCCGTTTTTCTGATCGGTAGGACTGTTGACACTTGTGGTTGGTATGAATTGTTCTGATGGTTTATCAAAGATCTCCAGTGTCAAGGTTCCCTGATTTGTACCAATGTCTCCTTCACATGTAAATGTCTGTGCACCATTTTCAACAACTGATCCAAAGGATAAAGAAATGGTAGGTGATGTTCTCGGGATATCTGCAAATATAAAGTTTTGTTTGTTAAGATTAATGTATGTAACAGATGTCATTATTTATTTCCATGAATCTGTTAGGATTCGAACCTGGGATCTCTGGTTTACTAGCCTGAAGTTTAACTGATCAAGCTGAAGATGAGTTCTTTCTAGCCAAGCGGTATATTGCGGTTAGTATTAATAAGGATTATATGTACAAGAGCTGTTTATATAATGCTAAAAGATCTTAAAATAAATTTATATCAAATCGGCACACCACACCAGACATTAAACTTACCTAGCACATTAATTTTGGAGGTTGTCGTTGATGACGAATTGCCATTGGTTAAGTTTAGATAAAACATTCCATCCATTGCACAAACTAGTTTTGGTATGGTCACATTGATATACTCCATCAACCCATCTGTGTGGTATGCGAGGTCAAGGTCAACCCATACAGAATCCGTCGATAAAACATCAGCTGAGACTTTTGTGATCTGTCCTAATGACACTATGTCTGACGCAGTTGTTGTAGAGGACATGTGTGATAGCAATATTGCATCAAAACCGCTACTTTTAATTTGACATTGAAGTGAGGTGGCATCATTGATATAAGCAGATATGTCGTTACACGTCAGCACTACAAGTAATAAAACCAAAGTCAGCAAAATGAAGGAAGAGTTGCTTAAATGATCATCGAAATTAAACTGTCATTGACATGTTTGATTATAATGAAATACGTAAAAACAATAGGGTTACAGTAATTTCTTTAATTTAAATGCAGCTATGATTGGTATTGTAAATGAGCCAAAGCAATAATAAAATGTTACTGACACATTGGACCAGTGGGTGTTGTCGAAGGAGGCGGAGTGGTAGTTGCTACAATACACAAGAATGAAATGTGATTATAAACTTACATCACATAACCTATTACACACATATATCACATCAGCAATATCTGGTTTAAAATTCAAAAGATATTAGGAAAAGGCAATAGTGTTATCAGTTCAAATAAAGTGATCAACAATCAGCAGACAGATTCTAAGGCCTACCTTTAATATCATTCTCGGCAATCTTTGTTGTCAGCAGACACTTGAGGACCCCATAAATTTGGTATATTGCATTTGCATACCAACAATATAATCTTAATGCTGTCAGCATATTGCTTTCAAATGCTATATAAACATGACTCTTAGATTGTGTTGTGCCCTTGACTTTGGAGAATATGTCTTTATTTTATCCTACATAACTTGATATCAAGATTTTCTGTCTATGACTTTTGAATGCGTAGCTTACCCTTATATTAAACATCACATAACTTGCTTTAATGGATATATTTTCTCTGCAATTGGTTTCTTTCCTGTGGTTGAGGTCTTCAAGAGAAATGCAACATTTAAAAGTCGTAATGACTGATATGTAATTATTTTCAGTTTATCCAATGGCCTAAATAGGTTCCAAAACTGGTAAATATAATCTAATCATCAACTACTCACGGGGAGGGCAGGGTACATTGTCACAGTCTTCACAGTCTGCATATGTTCCTCTGGACACAAAACATTTCTCCTGACAATCGTTGACCACTAAGACGTCACTATTACAATCAACGTGCTTGTGACAGTTATTAGGGTGTGCAGTTACCTTGTCTCCTCCTGTATTGCTGCATATGTTGTCTGCAAAAATAGTAAAGAAAATGCAAAAGATTGAATCCATTTCAAGGTGTCTACAGTTTTTAGGGTTGGTACTACTGTATAGAGAACATATCTGTTGAGCATTGAACTACCAAATTCACCCATAAATCAATAATTGAATATATATATATATTCAGTTACATTTATGTTTAGCTCTTGGGGATTTTATATTTTTCCCATTTATCAAGTAAGGAAAAATGGAAAATAAATTTTGCATAGTAGATGTACTTGTTGATGGTTTGCCATGATATATAAATGAGTATGGCTTGTCACGTGACCATATACAAATGAGCTAGGAGTCTGTATATTGCCGCTACAGTAAAGGTCACATGACTGCAGCTTTTAAGCGCCTCTTTGAGGTTTGCATCAAACGCCTGCGTAAAGCTATTTTAATCACATAATCTCCACCATCCCCATTTATCTCTAGGTTTTGCTATTTGGAGATCATGACTCCACTGTTCCTTGTCAATGTCTCAATTGTTTTAGTAACTTTCTTTATCTCTCAACAAACTTTGCTGCAAATCCCCAAGTTACTATTTTATTGCTCTTGATTGCAAGATAGGCATGTTATATCCACGCCTACTAGTTAGATATATTTTGAACCTTAAATTATAATAAAATGTTATGTATTATGTAAATTATGTAAATAAGTACTTGCATCCATTGGTTAAGCAGGTGAACATCTATATCCATGGTATATAGTATATACAGTAAGTATAAAACAGATAACTGTCTACCTGGTACAAGTTCTATGGTTGCATTGTCTGAATATGTTCTGATGTCCCCATTACTATTCGTGACAACACAACGGACCAAGGCTTCTTCCATATCCTCATGAAAGTTGATTCCGAAGCTGACAGTTCGCAAGGCATCGTCGCATTCCCAAGTGTTAGGTGTGGTTGAAACATCATTTAGATCAGTTGATGTCAGCTGTTGAAACATGACATCACCCTTTCGTAGTATTTCAATATCTATGTTACCCTCAGGGTAACCCACATCCACACTACATGTGTGTTTGTGTGTCGGTGCGTTCGGGTCGTTAGGTATGGTCGTCTGATGAGGATCTAATTTCAGTACTGGAATACCCGGAGGACCTGTAACATTTGTTAACGATGTGACCTTAACAACGGTAATCGTTATAGGCTAATTAATGTTATTTTCTCGGTTACTATTTGCCATGAATACAAAAATGTCCTAATGTCTCAGGACTTTTATTTTTCAAAACTTTTGAGATAGCATTAATTTTCACAGTACTTACTGAAATACAGATTAAAGAATCACAATTATATGCATAACTTTGATAGTGCCACTGTAGATCAACCAATAAAAATAGTCTAACAACTGTCTATGTGTGTACTCGAAACTAAGGTAATGCTTAAATCTTAAATCAATACGTTGTAACATCACCAAGAAAAATACGATGGCCTTACAAACAAACGAAAAGGTTAGATTTCGTTGTTTTTTTTTTTTTTTTTTTTTTCATCCTTTTGAATTCGAGCAAGCATTGCAATATTTAAAATTAGGCTCAATTAGACTGCTTACAAAATTATAACACTCTTTGTTAGCGATTATCAGCTTCAAACTAACTCTAGTCGACATTCGCTTTTGCATCGGAGATAACCATTTAGTCCTTTTAAGGTCGAAAATGTAACTTTATGTTACAACTATTTGATATACATATTGTAACAATGTATCAGTGTAATATTACATTGTAACTATTTAATGTTTGATATTGTATCAATGTAACAGTGTAATATTACATTGTAACTATTTGATATTTGATATTGTATCAATGTATCAGATATACATTTTGTAATATTACATTGTAACTATTTGATATACATATTGTAACACTGTATCAGTGTAATATTACATTGTAACTATTTGATATACATATTGTAACACTGTATCAGTGTAACACTACATTGTAACTATTCGTTATACATAATTGAACGATGTATCATTCGATGAAACTTACGTTCCACGTGAATGGTTTTGCTTGGTGACGTCAAAATGGCAACGCTGTTGTTGACCACACAGCTGTAAACACTTTCGTCTTCACACGACACTTTGATGATCTCGAAGGATAGAGCAAGGTCGTTACCGTTCCAAGAAATCGCTCCATTTTGTATACGCGTGGATTCAAACTGTACCATGTTGCCGTTAGAAGTAATCATCACTGTAGTATTGTCAAAGCCATCATGTCTTAGAATTTTCATTGTTGATGAAAGCGAACTGTTTGAAGCTGTGCATCGTAAAGGAGGCGAAACTTTACCAGCTTCCAATGTTTGTTCATAACTGTCGAAAGACACCTCTGTGGAAAATATTAAAATAATGAATTAGAAATGGTTTGTTTCATCGAAACTGCTATATATGCAAAAATAAGTAAATCACATACAACAAACATAACGTTATATATACCACAATAGTAAGCAAAACGTTTCAAAGGCATTTTCCATATTGTTTAAGCAATCTCCATTCAGACAATCATTACTTACCTCCCCTGACAACATAGATAACCTCTGTTTTAGACTCGCTTGTTACACCCAGTACTGTGTTTTCAACAACGCATTTTAATTCGGTTCCGTTGTCCACAAAACTGGGCACAAAGTCGAAAGTAGCGGTATATGATAACAGACAGTCACCATGTTGGTTTGTTGATGTAATTTCTCCAATATGAATATAGTATGTTGATGAAGCTGGTTTCTTTACATGCAATTTAATGTTCATATCAACTGTACCAGTTACCCTACAAACAGCAGATGTGGTTTGTCCTTCATTCAGAAATCTTGGCAGTTCCAGAGTCACATTTTCAGGTTTCCCTTCAATAAAAGAAGTAAAGAATGGAAACATGCCAATGGAAATGCACTATAAGAATACAAGATAGGAGACGTTACCGTACTACTTCTAAAAAACCTAAAAAAAATAAAATAAAAAGTCAGATGTTTTATAACACTCTGTTATACATCCTCGAGACTCCAGGAGTTTCCCTATCTGAATCCCTGGAATATGTCAGGCAAAAATGAAGGTTCCTTGTCCGATACCTTGTGGACAAACCGAAAAGACTAGTTTGATCATTTGATGTACATCAAACGAATCCCCATGCTGTAATACGGTATATTGTAAGTTTTTGAAGTTGATATCGCTCCTTTGTAATCTTCAAAGGGGGGTATCAGCCTGTGCTTGGTCAGTCTTTATTCCTGGAACCAATGAAATTACTCCGCCTATGCCTTCATGTTCTCTTTAACATGGATGCAGTGATGGTAAACCCTGGAGTATAGAGGATGAAGTGATCGTCACCCTTGGAGTATCGAGGATGTAGTGACCGTCACCCCTAGAGTATCCAGCATGTAGTGATCGTCACCCCTGGTGTATAGAGGATGTAGTGACCGTCATCCCTGGAGTATCGAGGATGTAGTGACCGTCATCCCTGGAGTATCGAGGATGTAGTGACCGTAGCCCCTGGAGTATCGAGGATGTAGTGACCGTCACCCCTTGAGTATCGAGGATGTAGTGATCATCATCCCTGGAGTATCGAGCATGTAGTGATCGTCACCCCTGGAGTATCGAGGATGTAGTGACCGTAGCCCCTGGAGTATCGATGATGTAGTGACCGTCACCCCTTGAGTATCGAGGATGTAGTGATCATCATCCCTGGAGTATCGAGCATGTAGTGACCGTCATCCCTGGAGTATCGAGCATGTAGTGACCGTCATCCCTGGAGTATCGAGCATGTAGTGACCGTCATCCCTGGAGTATCGAGCATGTAGTGACCGTCATCCCTGGAGTATCGAGCATGTAGTGATCGTCACCCCTGGAGTATCGATGATGTAATGATCGTCACCCCTGGAGTATCGAGGATGTAGTGATCGTCACCCCTGGAGTATCGTGGATGTAGTGACCGTAACCCCTGGAGTATCGATGATGTAATGATCGTCACCCCTGGAGTATCGATGATGTAATGATCGTCACCCCTGGAGTATCGATGATGTAATGATCGTCACCCCTGGAGTATCGAGGATGTAGTGACCGTAACCCCTGGAGTATCGAGCATGTAGTGACCGTCACCCCTGGAGTATCGATGATGTAATGATCGTCATCCCTGGAGTATCGATGATGTAATGATCGTCACCCCTGGAGTATCGAGCATGTAGTGATCGTCACCCCTGGAGTATCGATGATGTAATGATCGTCACCCCTGGAGTATCGAGGATGTAGTGACCGTCACCCCTGGAGTATCGATGATGTAATGATCGTCACCCCTGGAGTATCGAGCATGTAGTGATCGTCACCCCTGGAGTATCGTGGATGTAGTGACCGTAACCCCTGGAGTATCGTGGATGTAGTGACCGTAACCCCTGGAGTATCGAGGAGTTCTATGATAAACAAGCCGTGAAATAGAAAATAAAATGGATGCTATATTAAGACAATTAAATACTACGAGGAGTGATCGTTATGCACGCTGTTTGAAAAATAACATAGTTACCAGTGACATGTACTTCCGCTGTATCTTCAACTGCGTTGTCAACTTTGCACGTGTAGATACCAGCATCTGTGCAGTCTGTTAATGTTATATCGAAGAAAACCGTGACGTTATTTCCATTTTCAATGTATTCACTCTCGCCTCTCTTGTAGGTAATACTGTCTTTAGTCGACACAATGGTAAGATTGTTCCAGTAACCGGCGTTGAACACGCTACACTCCACTCGTGCAGGCTCATTTACTACAGCTGTGACGTCATCCATTACCAAGACTGCCCAAAGATACATCACACTACTTTATATATACACTGTACATTGTAAACATACATAGACTGTGATAGTGATATATGTATATACAGATTACCGACAGATAGAAGACCAGGACGAATCATCATGTGGTGAAGTTTTCATAACTGGATTAGAATTGAAATTAAAAAATGTTTCCGTAACTTACCTGGTAAAACAACAGTTGTAGCAGACGGCATCGAAGTTGTTATTGTTGTGTTTGTAGTTGTTTGGGTTGTGATTGTGGATGAAGGTGTTGTGTTTGTAGTTGTTTGGGTTGTGATTGTGGATGAAGGTGTTGTGTTTGTAGTTGTTTGGGTTGTGATTGTGGATGAAGGTGTTGTGTTTGTAGTTGGTGGAGTTGTGATTGTGGATGAAGGTGTTGTGTTTGTAGTTGGTGGAGTTGTGATTGTGGATGAAGGTGTTGTGTTTGTAGTTGTTGGAGTTGTGATTGTGGATGTAGGTGTTGTGTTTGTAGTTGTTTGGGTTGTGATTGTGGATGTAGGTGTTGTGTTCGTAGTTGTTTGAGTTGTGATTGTGGATGTAGGTGTTGTGTTTGTAGTTGTTGGAGTTGTGATTGTGGATGTAGGTGTTGTGTTTGTAGTTGTTTGAGTTGTGATTGTGGATGAAGGTGTTGTGTTTGTAGTTGTTGGAGTTGTGATTGTGGATGTAGGTGTTGTGTTTGTAGTTGTTGGAGTTGTGATTGTGGATGTAGGTGTTGTGTTTGTAGTTGTTGGAGTTGTGATTGTGGATGTAGGTGTTGTGTTTGTAGTTGTTGGAGTTGTGATCTCGGATGTAGGTGTTGTGTTTGTAGTTGTTGGAGTTGTGATTGTGGATGTAGGTGTTGTGTTTGTAGTTGTTGGAGTTGTGATTGTGGATGTAGGTGTTGTTTTTGTAGTTGTTGGAGTTGTGATTGTGGATGTAGGTGTTGTGTTTGTAGTTGTTTGAGTTGTGATTGTGGATGTAGGTGTTGTGTTTGTAGTTGTTGGAGTTGTGATTGTGGATGTAGGTGTTGTGTTTTTAGTTGTTTGAGTTGTGATTGTGGATGAAGGTGTTGTGTTTGTAGTTGTTTGAGTTGTGATTGTGGATGTAGGTGTTGTTTTTGTAGTTGTTTGAGTTGTGATTGTGGATGTAGTTGTTGTGTTTGTAGTTGTGGGAGTTGTGATTGTGGATGTAGGTGTTGTTTTTGTAGTTGTTGGAGTTACGATTGTGGATGTAGTTGTTGTGTTTGTAGTTGTTGGAGTTGTGATTGTGGATGTAGGTGTTGTGTTTGTAGTTGTTGGAGTTGTGATTGTGGATGTAGGTGTTGTGTTTGTAGTTGTTGCAGTTGTGATTGTGGATGAAGGTGTTGTGTTTGTAGTTGTTGCAGTTGTGATTGTGGATGTAGGTGTTGTGTTTGTAGTTGTTGGAGTTGTGATTGTGGATGTAGTTGTTGTGTTTGTAGTTGTTGGAGTTGCGATTGTGGATGTAGTTGTTGTGTTTGTAGTTGTTGGAGTTGTGATTGTGGATGTAGGTGTGTTAGTAGTTTTGGGAGTTGTGATATCGGATGTAGCTGTTGTGTTTGTAGTTGTTGGAGTTGTGATATCGGATGTAGGTGTTGTGTTTGTAGTTGTTGCAGTTGTGATTGTGGATGTAGGTGTTGTGTTTGTAGTTGTTGGAGTTGTGATTGTGGATGTAGTTGTTGTGTTTGTAGTTGTTGGAGTTGCGATTGTGGATGTAGTTGTTGTGTTTGTAGTTGTTGGAGTTGTGATTGTGGATGTAGGTGTTGTGTTTGTAGTTGTTGGAGTTGCGATTGTGGATGTTGGTGCTGTAGTTGTTATTGTCGTTGTTGGAGTAATAGCTGTTGTAGGAATGGTGGTTGTTGTTGAAGGAGTGGTAGTTGTTATTTCATTTACACTGATCACTATAAGAGTAGAAACAGTTACAACATATCTTCCAAATCTTCCTCTGTCTGGATTATTGTTAATTACTGCCACTGTTGATCTGATGACAAATAGAAAGGCCTGACCATCTGTACTTGTCACGGCGTCACATCGAACTCTGAACTGGACTTTGACACTTCCCTCTCTGAACAAAACATTAAAAGACGCGATAGTTTACATTTGATTAATTCGATAGGATTGATTCCACAACTTTTATATATTAAGATGATCCGTAACATAATTAGTTGATACATGTAAAATACCAATACATTACGTGTACATTTCACATGTATATATTTCGCTCTTATTGCTAAGTTACAATTGTCATTAATTCTATGAAAAGGAACGAGTATTCTTGGGATTTATTAAAATGTATTACTAAAGTTATGAATGCCATAATATCAATGAATCTTTATTTATCATCTCAAGGTCATCTTTAAATTGTATTTCAAACGTATGTTAATAACTTATTATTAATTCATTTCTTGTGCGAGATACACAATAAGTTAAATCATTTGTAATATGACCAATTCGAAACTGATACAAATACGTTCACTATCTCTCGGATGTACGTTTATGTTAATTGTTAGTTAAATACCGTAATTCCATTGCTTTACTGAAAAACTGTAATTTTACTAGTTGCCTCCCTTTATTGATAAATAGCATATATATGACATTAACTGTAAGTGAAAAACTGTAATTTTACTAGTTGCCTCCCTTTATTGATAAATAGCATAGATATGATATTAACTGTAAGTGAAAAACTGTAATTTTACTAGTTGCCTCCCTTTATTGATAAATAGCATAGATATGACATTAACTGTAAGTGAAATACTGTAACTGTATTAGTTTTCTCCCTTTATTGATAACTATCATAGGTATGAGATGCATTGTGAAAAATCCCTTATAATTGTATAATGGTATGTTAATACTATGTTTATTATTGAATACCATTTAACGTATACAGATTCATTAAATATTATTCAAATGGTTTTAAGTTTCGGTATAAATATAATTGTAGCACAGTAACACTACTTACGTTAATCCAGTGACAACACAGGACTTGTATTGATCCTTAAAGACGCTGTTATTAGCTGTATATGCTTGTCGTACCTAAGATTGAACAAAGGCACCAATAAATAGCGCTTTAGAGTATAAATTCAAAACTAGATACTGCAGAGCCAAATGATTAATTAATCTGCACCCTACAGCTGTGTCGTCCTTTAGGAACATCAATGATGTCAATTGCTTAAATTCTGAAACCTAGGAAGCAAGTGTGAAAATCCAAAGTGATCGAAAAAAAACGTCAAAATGAGATTTGGACGTGTACTAGCCCCATAAAAAATCGGAATTTAAAAACGTCAACCTTATGTGTATATTCTGCACCGTGCCAATATTCGAATGGATTTAAACGTGGTATGCAGGTTACGGCGTAATTCAGAGACTAAACAATCACGATGATCGAACATGACACACAAGTGAACTAGATGATAGAACCATATACATTTACCGCACTGTAGCTAATAATTACCATCTATATTTACCGCACTATAAAAAACCAAACGTCACTATATAATGAATAGGACACAATTATGTTATCGGTATTTCGTGAACACAAGACGCTGTAATTTTCTGCCTACAGCTGCCCCGTATAATTTTGTTATGTGCGGTAGTGACGCAAAACCGTTTTTAGTATGTGAATAACATGAACAACTTTCCAGTTTACTTAAACATTTCACTGGAAATACGAATAACTGTTCTGATACAGGTATGTGATTTTGTTTGATATTTCAATCATCGCTGCAGGCTAAATAGAATACATGGTCAGTATCTTAGAATACAAACTTTATTTTTGTCCGGGCTAGAAAGACAGAACTGGCGAGCTTTTTGTCGTTCTTCACTCTCGCCAAAATTCAACTTATATATTGAGACGCTAACCGAGTGTTCTCTATATTGGTCGTAACAAAGTTTTATGTCAAATCAATGTCTGTCTGTTTTCTGAGCATGAGACACTAAGATTGGTTTTACAAATAGCAAGAAATAATATCTTATTCAGGGCCTTTATCTGAAGCACATGGCCTTGGAACATAGTGTGAATACAGATGAACTGTATCGCATAATAAGACATTGTGTCAATTTGATTAGAAAACTACACAAGAATAGTAAAAATCCAACATTCGCTCTCTAGAACCAAAGCATGCCACCGTAATGGGCAGGTATTTGTTTTAAACCTTTGTCTTATCATGTAGATGAGATTATCATTACATTATAGATGTATATAAAACAATTACAAAAATATCAGACATTTTGTTGACATTCTATAATACACAACAAAAGCGAAAGTAAAATGATTGATATACTTCTTACCTCTTCACAAAATTCAGTTTGAAAACTCTTGAATTCCGTAGAGTTGAAGTCGTTATATTCTGGTTTGAATGTTTCATTCAATGTTATACTCATTTCCACACTTACTGCATAACACAAAATAATGAAATAAAATGATATTATAGAGTAAATCTATCCGTATCACTATATGATGACCGACAAAAGAAACTCAGTTTTCAGTCTGATAAAGTGCTTATCAATAAGGAAATGAAAGGTGTTGATTAAATCTACCGAGTGTAAGTTATGACAAAGCAAAGGGCCATCAATTATAAGAATGTATCACATTTTCTTGTTCAAATTTGAATTATTTTACAAATGTATTCAGAGAGAGGTTGTACGTACTCACCGTCTTTTGCCTGTTCAACCAACCCTGTAATGTTGTTAATAAGGAATATTTCTAAGACTTTCAATGACATAAATTATGCTAATAAGGTATAATCATGGTATTAGTAGAATTTCCCAATTAAGAACTAGTATATTCCTAAGTTGTCAGTATATAGCATAAGTACATTTTACTGACTACTTCTCTGTTTCACAAAAAATCAACTTTCTCAAAGCGTTTCCCTTTTCTTCAATGCTGGCTGATATAAACTTTCTAGATTGTCACCCCATTTATCATCAGAACACTCAAATTCCTAAGGTTTTCTGAGAATTGCAGATAAGTCTTGTTATAGTACTGTTCAAATTCATATTAATCCTTTGTCATACATTTAATACCTCCGTTTTATAAGGATTAACTGTAACCAGCCATTGATTTCACTGATTATCTATGGATTTAGGGTCATCACACGTTTAATTTCCATACCAAAGAGGCATACATCATAAACGTGTGTCTACAAAACGTCGAGACACACGTAATAATTCATCAGCTACATCATTAATAAAGATTAAGAACAACAGGGACCCTAACACTGAACTTTGAGGCACACCTGCTTCCTAAACCTGATTACCAGAATTCTCGGATAAAAAGTCTTTACTTCCTGCATATAGAGTAGCTTTAGCCGTTTTAGAATATCACCTGATATACCATATATTTTAAGCTTTGGTATTAGACACCAACTTCAGCAAAAGCCTTAGACTTGCCATTAACCCTGATTGCTTTGTATAAACAACTTATTTTCGAAGAAATAACCAGGTATGTGTTTTATCATAACATGTTCAAAGACATTATCTACTGTGAATAGTAAGGAAATGGGTCTATACTTAGACGTCAAATCTTTCTCAACATTTTAAAATGCCGACATAACTATATCCTGAATCCACAGATCTGGATATATGGTTTAATAATTGTATTGACCTTTAGTCATTCGGTTAATCAGTATAACCAGTTACAACATATTAGGATACACTTGTGAGTGATACAGACATCTTATGGAGGATTGACAATATGATTTATATTCTAACAGTAATCTATTGAAAAGACTTTGTAGAGGTTAAAATATATAGCTGTACGATGTATGTCCTTGGCTTTCCCTAATTTTAGTATATTTAATACCTCTACTATTTTTTCTATATATATGTTTACAGAACCTAACGATGAATTAGTTTTAAAGACTATATGCGGAACACGTTACATAAAATATTACCACTTACTTACTGGATATGTAAGAGGGAGATTTTGCCGGAGTGACAATTAGCTTTTATAGTTATTCCCAATAATTTCCAACACGATTACGGATCTGATGCTATATCGTTTTCGAAAACGCTATCTAAATTTAATAATATGATGCACATGCATATTTTTCGTATCATTAACTATATTCCTAGTGCATTTGAAGTTAATCATACCAAAGTCACGAGGAAGGTCTCCAACTTTTGTTGGCTAGTCGATCACGTCTTCTTTTATTTTTTTCGTAACTCCGACTTCATCTACGCCTTTGTTATTAGATCTGATATTGATAGTTTACGACGGAAAACATTGTCTAGCCATAATTAGAAATTGTTAAGTAAAATGCGTACAAGCTTCATTGGCATTTACCGACTGTAAAAACATCAATAAGTCTATTAAATTTGCTCGTTTATAAAGCTAGATTTCACGTTTATAAGATGTGATTAACTCCGAACTCGATATATACTAAACCAGCTTCATGATCGCTAACATTATAGATGATTCCATATGTTTAATTGTTTCCAGCCAAGAGAAATGGATCAAGAAGTCTTCTTCAAGTACTACCAATTCTTGTACGTACGAAAGGTGGCATTACAAAAAAACGAAAAACAAAAAAACAAAAAACCCCCAAAAAACAAAAAACAAAAAACAAAACAAAAACAACCTGCATACTGCCAGTTAAGTGTAAACACATTTACATTAACATAACATACAATTGCAATATTTGAAAATAGGTATATTATTGACCCTATAGACGAATGTATTTGTTCCCAAAACACATTTGTGTTTGGTTGGATGCAAGTAGTACACAGGAAAATCGCCATGGGGATTTGATATCTTACCTAGTTGCTTTAATTTGTTCGGATATGTTAACCAACATTCCACCATATATGTATATATATATATATATATATATAATCATTACTATAATCTTTACTAAATAAATGTAATTATAGGTTATACATAGTTGTACTTGACGAAGAAATTAATCCACATACATATTAGTTGTAATGCGCTATCATGATAATCATGTACAATTTGATTATCACATCTGTTACTAAGAGAACTTGGATGAAAATGAGAAAAAAGTGAGAATAACAGCTGAGATGTTTTCAGATAGACATAAATTACACGAGAACAAATGAAGATATTTTACATTGCATTACAAAATAAGCTATAAATAAAACATATTTTAATCATTAGAGAAATACTTACAGTCATAAGGTGATACGTTATAGGCAGGAAAACTAAAATAAGTGTATATTGATTTGTTTACTTCATTAAAGACATTGATGCATAATTTTAAACATTTTCACCTATTGCATTATGATATCAATACTTACGTGTGTTAGGAATGCTGAGGAAGATGATAGAAACTGTTATCACGGCGAACAGAGTCACGAAGAAAGCAATGAATACAACTTTTATGCTTTTCCACCAAGGAACTTTCTCGTCGTCGTCTTTGGCTGAAGCATCATCTGATGTGTGTGTGTCAGTTGTGCCGTTCGAAATATCCAGCCACCAGTTGTTATCATTTAGACTTAACCTCCCAGACAACGCATCATAATCTGCACCTCGTGTGCTCCAACGTGTTGCTATCTTTGATAATAAACGAAACCGACATTGCTATATAATTCCAAATACTTTTACTGTAAACTGTATTTTTCTGTGACTAATAGAGAAATCTAGGTAAAACAGGAAATCATCAAATTTCATTATTGCATACTATCTTAATATCACAATCCTTGTATGTTTAAGAATATTTTTTCAGCTACAAAAGTAATATAGGTTGCTAGTTTCATTAATATTTGTAAACGCTAGAAAAACCATAGAACCTTAATCTTTGTCTCTGACAATTTACGGTCAAAAAACAATCATTAGTATATCATTGGACTTCAGTTCATTATTGTTAAGAAGGGACATATACTGTATATAACTAAAACCGAAACAGAACAAGAGGCCCACGGGCACGTTCATCTTAATGCAAAGACCTGTATATGAAAGAGGCCAAATAGGCCTAAAATAAATTGCTTAACTGCAGCTTATAAAGAAGACATCGTTGTATCCTACAATTTCTGCAAACTATAAGTCATATGATTTATACTTGCTACTACCAAAATGCCATCACGCCGGACGTATTGCTTGTTAAAAAAGTAATTTTAAGGTCTCAAATTTGATTGAAGAGACCTTGATTATAGGTCAAGGTCAAATATTAGCCCTTCATCCACTTATGTCAAAGAACCAGTTACAACAACCTGGACATCTGTGTTCTTGGACCTTTGAAGATTTTAACAAATTTTGAAAAGAGAAATGGTCAATCACATGAACAAAATTAGCATGTCGCAGTATCAGTACCCTACGCCTTTTGGTAACTGAAAAGAATTCATTTAGATATTTTTAACACATTTGATTCGTGTGACCTTGAATGTGGGTCAAGGCCATTCATTTTAACTAACTTGGTAACGCTTTATCCCATCATTCTAAAGACCTAATATCATCACCATAGACTTTTTGGTTATTGAGAAGCCGTTTAAAGATTTTAACATTGTTGACCCCTGTGACTATTGAAAGTTTACCAAGGTCAATAATATGAACAAACTTGGAAGCCCTATATCCCATCATTCTACAGACCCAATATTAGCACCATGGACCTTTTGCTTATTGAGAAGCTTGATCTTTTGGGTCAGAGGACATATAATGTAATAGTATTGCACGACGGTTTCGATTACGACTTTTTAGGAAATGCCTTGCACAGTTGAGAAATTATTACAATTGTATTCATGCATTCTTTTGTCTGGTTTGAAATTTTGTATAGATTGCTATGTGTTGTATATAGTTTGTTAATGAGTGTTGTCATTTTAAGGAATATAACTCAGCTTATCACATCATGTTGGTAATCATGTGTATCAATTATACAAATATAACGTAAATGCAATTATTCCTAAAATTAGAAGAAAAGGAAAGTAAACTTTCAAATAAAAGTAGTAATTTAATGGTGAGTAAATAAAGACAGGCTTCTGTTAGAAGACTGGACTAAAGACACGCAGAAGAAAAGCACTTTTGATACAGAAATCACCCCCTACCGATTGCACAGAAACATATACACTGCTTGCAAATGCAGAATATCAATTTTCTCTGTCTCATCTAGTAACCAACAGTATGTCATACCATTAGACTATTTTCCTATTCATAACAGGCTATGAATAAATCCAACTATACTTCTATAATGTGAGGTATTAATCTCTTGCTGCTTACTTAGAGTTATATCGGATATAATTGATTAGTATGGAATGGTTCATAGAACACCTGCAACTCGGTATTATGGACTAGTAACTTTATACAATGCATCTATATCACGAAAACGTCATTGGGGTTGGGCTTTAGAGAAATAGTTCACAAGAGATATTCATTCGTCAGAAGACTGGTTTAGGGAGTAGAATTCAAATAAATACAGAAATAGAATGGAGCAGTATTCCAAGTATGGTAAAGTATTATTTCGGCATAAACAATATTTTTATTTAAATCATATTTGATTTACAGCCAAAACCGATTTAAAAAGAACAAATATGTAATTGTTGGCACATGTTTATGCTGAGATGAACACATATGTCGCAAGCTTAGATTTGACGTTGATTGTGAATAATAAATTCTTTCATACATTAACAGTTATTTCTGGAGATTATGTAAAATAATTTTCAAATGTATAATTTACTGTGAGGACAGCAACAGGAAATGGTTTATTACATCGTGATATTATAAGTAATTATTTGTTTTTATTCATTTTAAAAACACAAATAGTTATACCATTTACCTCAACTGATCGAATAAAGTTTTGTTGCTTACATTTCGAATTATTTGTTTATAGTTAGAATTCTAGAATGTTTTAACATTTCAGTTGACTGTAACACGTTTGAATGAAATATTCGCTGAGACGAATGAGCTGAAGATTTCTACCGTCCACATCAATACTCATATAGATATAGATATAAGACTCACGATCGGGAGTCGGGAGACGGGGTGAAAAATCGGGAGGCTCCCGCCTAAATCGGGAGGGTTGGCAACTATGGATATACTTATATACATGCTCCCCTGTATAATGCTAAAAGTATATAATGCTCTATATTTCATTCCCATTAGCTGGTTCTAACCAGGAAGATCTCGAAAAATTAGCTTTGCCCAATTAAATAACTATTAAATATCGCTCCCTGTCAATGAACCAAGGCATACTAATCACCGCATGATCATTTATCATACATTACTAGAATATCAGTAATATTTGAAAAAATAATCTCTTCCTTACACAGATTAGTGAACATCTTAAACTGGTTAAGCATTTTATAACAAATAACGATATTTTAGCAGTAAAAATTAATTTTATAGAAATTCCTGTGAAAGAGACATGGTGTAATTGTTTGCAATCAAAACATTTGCGCTAATTCAGACCAAACTTTATAAATGCCACACCTGAGACATTTTTAAAATTCACCAACCATTATAACAATTGTACTCGTACGTATCAGAAGTAGTCCAAAGTAATGACCTCGTCTTCCAGCGACTCGTCTAACATTTAAATAGAACACTTATCTGTTTAGTGATAATTTGTCCCAGTTGTAAATAACGATAATAAAGAACCTATTGTAAATACCAACTTCCTGTTAAACTAAATAGATTGTATGAATATGAAAACGGCATTACTTAACAATTTATGTTTACCTCAAATCAACAGACTTGCACGTGATATACACTATATGTTTGCGGTATTTAATAAGACATTAACCTGACTTATGTAATCAAAGAAAACTTTAAATAGATACTATCAGAGCTCCGATAAAATGCCGAGCCGAAATTGAGTTCTAAATAATCCATCAATACATGAATTTAAAGTTCCCTTTAAGATATATATTAATAATAGATTGATGTAATGTGATACACAGACAGTGTTACAGAAGCCATTGATTTGCCATGATCAACCCGGTATAAACAGACTATTCGATATCGTCCTTAAAATACATAGTATCTTTCGTTCCGCTCGAGAGCTTTGTATTCAAATTGAACATAATGGAATAGAATTCCAAATTGTGTATATTGAAATGTTTTATGTAGCTGTAATTGTTATGTTACTTGAAGCTTGGGGAACTTCCTGGTTCTTATCAAAGAATACCAATTAAAACACTAGTGTAACCTATTGATGTGTATGCAATATTGTATGAATGAAATAAAACATATTTACAATTTACAACGTCAAGATAAAGAGAAAAGTAAATATTTCTGTACATGTCTATTGCAGTATGAAAGAGAACTATTATGATAAAAGTGAAATGAAATAGTAAGACAAAGAAATATAACAAAACAAGTATAATACTATATAAAACCGACATACAAATCCCTACATTCAGGTATCATGCAAGTTCTGTTCAATGTTGTACAGAAACATTGTCATTGCTTACATATACACGATAATTAATTAACTGGTCCTGTGCTGTAGAGTATTTTAAAATACATTAAGGATTATATAAGAATATAGGTATTTCAATATTGAAGACATTATCATTTTAGATCATCAGCTCCACACTATTACAGATTCTGTCTCGGTTCTCGGTGTTATTTTGCTAAAGGTTTCTAACATTGAACTAGACAAACAGGTATAATTACGTTTCCATAAAAAAAATCAGAATTCAATACAATGGAGAAACGAATAAGTATGTTACAGCCTTTTCGGCCTTCTGTGATCCTAAGGACTGAAGAATACCTAAATTGAAAAGGCCAAAATCTAGATTAGGCGGTGAACTAGCCTTATAATGCAATAAATGCCATGGCCATGCCAAATATTAGAGAAAAGAAACATACGACCAGTGCATGATCGAGTATGTTCTGTAACATGTCATTATTCAAATTAAATGTAAAAGGTAGATGTAACACACTGTAGTGCTGTCATGTATGCACAGCACCTTTGTATCCTTTAATATGTATCTTACATAATGATTTTTAAAACCTCCTTATCCAATCGATTCATTAACTTAGTTTTGCTTCCCACATCAGATCGTAGGTTGAATGCTGGTATCAATATCAATATCATACACTATAGACTAAGATAAACCTTAAGCGTCGTACAAAAAAGAAGTAGCTGTATGATGGCTCTGCTGTGTCTATTGTGCTTTTTAACTGTGTTTTTTTGTACAATCCTTTGAGATTGAAAGTGGTAAGCTCTTCCATAGGACGTCATCAGTCTTAGAGGTTTTCCGAAATCTACATGCCAAGTTTTCATTTATAAACATAACGTCATTATGAATCTAACTAATATTGAAAATTGTGAAATTAGTGTATTGAAATGTGCAATGGGAAATGCTTGGCTTTCGATGAACGTCTTTATTCAATAAAAATTTAATAATAAAGGGAACAAGAGTAATATATGTTACAAGACAAAAACAACACCTTTGCGCCAAGTCATTGTTTAAATCACGAGAACTTTGACCATAAAAAAACTGTTAAAATTCGTTCTAGTTTAATGTCTAGTTCATATGAGCTAAATGTAAAGACCATATTTGGTTAACACAGAATTCTTATGAAATAAATACTACGTAAAGGTTTGGTACGACAACTTGGTAACAGCAACTCAATGCTGGAAACAAAAAGGTAACACAAAAATAAAGCAGAAAAAACATTACACCATATTCTGAAAGATATGCCAAAAGGGTTGTTATTTTTAAGGGCATAACTCCCGTGAAAAAAACATATACCATTCTTAGATACCAAGTGGTAATGATGTAAATATCTAAATCGTCTCAAAAACAAATTTTATGTTCCGGCACAGTTCGGTTTGACAGGGAATTTTATATGATAATAAACACGTCCTACCTGACGATTGAACATGCTGGTACCATCACTGTGTTCAGACATCTTATCTTGCCTCTGTTTCGTCTTTCTGCTTCCAACATTTTTCAGGGTTTTATCATTTTCCTGGCGGTATTGAGTCATGCGTCCTCTGTCATCATTGCTGTCCGATTCCACATCTCTTTGACGATACTCGTCACTGTTTCTTCGAGTTCCAATATCATCAAAATCATACATCTTTGCGCCATACGGATTTCTGGACAACCCCAGTCGTTTAACTGAAGACTTGGGATCTCCTGTGACGTTTTGCGCTGGCATTGTTGCTCTGAATTTATTCTGTCTGTAGAGATGTTGATTGTTTGTTGAAACTTTTCCATTTGACATCGGGTTAGATCTGTCAGCGTTCTGATTTGACGGTTTAATGTAAGATGTTTGTCGATCTCCTGTGTACACCACTGAACGTCTTAGAATATTTTTAACTTCATATTTTGCACGAAGTTCAGCGTCTGTTTCAGAGGTATTAGCATCGTCATAAACACGCTGTTCTACGGATCTTCCAAAGGGATTTCTATCCAGGTGTCCCGCGGGTATGTTATCACTGTTGGGATAATATGTATGACGGAAATAATTGTCCTCTGCCATTTTAACACTCGCATAAAAATGTATCCTAAGCAAATATCAATCTTTCATAGGAATTTATGTTTCCTCGTTGTCATTTTCAATCACTGAAAGAATCGACTTTTTTTTCATATGTTTGTGACACTGCATATATACCCACCCTTAACAAGTCGCCGACTACAACACGAGACCAATGTCAAATGCCACATGTGTACACAATTGCGTAGTCTGCATTGCATTGCTTAACAATATAATGCGAATTTTACTACCGGGTTTGAAACTATGTAAGACATGGAAGACAGAAAAATACCTTTTGTAAATCGATATGCTACTGACAGCGTGAAGTAAACACAATGACTATCGATTGCTAAAGATAATAGACATTTGAAATAACAAGTTATTCAATAGTTTGACTATAATAGTACAAAACAATTGATAGGTACATGTCTTTTGAAATATCTTATGAAAAATAAAGTAATTTTATCTACTGTTTACTAAAGCAAGCCAAGTATTCCTTTATATCTATACACCTTTAACAAAAATAACAACATGCATATATAGTGGTGATACTAGTTTACCTTCAATATTTTATATACCATACATTCGCTGCTCTGTGTATACTTGTTAACATTCAGTTGTCTATACATTATGAATGCGCAGAAGTATATGCCATCAACACGACTGATCGATTTTACAATGGTCGCTTAATAATGGTATCCTTTGACAACGGTAATTTCAATATCACCATTCCTTTTTTATATGCTTCTTTCACTGAAAGTAAAGCAGGCGCAGGTACATCATTATGTACGGTAACCGTACATGTACATGAATGTTTGTATTCTGTGTCTGTATCTGGACGTTTATGAGGGACAGTCTATGTCTGTATTTCGACGTTTATGAGGGACAGTCTGTGTCTGTATTTGGACGTTTATGAGGGATAGTCTATGTCTGTATTTGGACGTTGATGAGGGACAGTTTGTGTCTGTATTTGGACATTTAAGAGGGATAGTCTATGTCTGTATTTGGACGTTTATAAAGGATTGTCTATATCTGTATTTGGACGTTGATGAGGGACAGTTTGAGGCTGTAATTGGACATTTAAGAGGAATAGTCTATGTCTGTATTTAGACGTTGATGAGGGAGTATATGTCTGTATTTGGACGTTGATGAGGGACAGTCTGTGTCTGTATTTGGACGTTGATGAGGGACAGTCTTTGTCTGTATTTGGACGTTGATGAGGGACAGGTTGTGTCTGTATTTCGACGTTGATGAGGTACAGTCTGTCTGTATTTGGACGTTTATGAGAGCCAGTCTGTGTCTGTATTTGGACGTTGATGAGGGACAGTCTTTGTCTGTATTTGGACGTTGATGAGGGACAGTCTTTGTCTGTATTTAGACGTTGATAAGGGATTGTATTTGGACGTTGATGAGGGATTGTCTATGTCTGTATTTGGACGTTGATGAGGGACAGTTTGTGTCTGTATTTGGACGTTGAAGAGGGACAGGTTGTGTCTGTATTTGGACGTTGATGAGGGACAGGTTGTGTCTGTATTTGGACGTTGATGAGGGAGTATATGTCTGTATTTGGACGTTGATGAGGGAGTATATGTCTGTATTTGGACGTTGATGAGGGACAGTCTGTGTCTGTATTTGGACGTTGATGAGGGACAGTCTTTGTCTGTATTTGGACGTTTATGAGGGACAGTCTGTCTGTATTTGGACGTTGATGAGGGATAGTCTGTGTCTGTATTTGGACGTTGATGAGGGACAGTCTTTGTCTGTATTTGGACGTTGATGAGGGACAGTCTTTGTCTGTATTTAGACGTTGATAAGGGATTGTCTATGTCTATATTTGGACGTTGATGAGGGATTGTCTATGTCTGTATTTGGACGTTGATGAGGGACAGTTTGTGTCTGTATTTGGACGTTGATGAGGGACAGTCTGTGTCTGTATTTGGACGTTGATGAGGGACAGGTTGTGTCTGTGAGGGAGTATATGTCTGTATTTGGACGTTGATGAGGGACAGGTTGTGTCTGTATTTGGACGTTGATGAGGGACAGTTTGTGTCTGTATTTGGACGTTGATGAGGGACAGTTTGTGTCTGTATTTGGACGTTGATGAGGGAGTATATGTCTGTATTTGGACGTTGATGAGGGAGTATATGTCTGTATTTAGACGTTGATAAGGGACAGTCTGTGTCTGTATTTGGACGTTGATGAGGGACAGTCTGTGTCTGTATTTGGACGTTGATGAGGGACAGTCTTTGTCTGTATTTGGACGTTTATGAGGGACAGGTTGTGTCTGTATTTCGACGTTGATGAGGTACAGTCTGTCTGTATTTGGACGTTTATGAGAGCCAGTCTGTGTCTGTATTTGGACGTTAATGAGGGATTGTCTATGTCTGTATTTGGACGTTGATGAGGGACAGTCTTTGTATTTGGACGTTGATGAGGGACAGTCTGTGTCTGTATTTGGACGTTAATAAGGGATTGTCTATGTCTGTATTTGGACGTTGATGAGGGACAGTCTTTGTATTTGGACGTTGATGAGGGACAGTTCGTGTCTGTATTTGGAAGTTGATGAAGGACAGTCTTTGTATTTGGACGTTGATGAGGGACAGTTTGTGTCTGTATTTCGACGTTGATGAGGGACAGTCTGTCTGTATTTGGACGTTGATGAGGGACAGTTTGTGTCTGTATTTGGACGTTGATGAGGGATAGTTTGAGTCTGTAATTGGACATTTAAGAGGGATAGTTTATGTATGTATTTGGACGTTGATGAGGGACAGTTTGTGTCTGTATTTGGACGTTTATATGGGACAGTTTGTGTCTGTATTTGGACGTTGATGAGGGACAGCCTGTGTCTGTATTTGGACGTTTATAAGGGATTGTCTATGTCTGTATTTGGACGTTGATGAGGGACAGTTTGAGGCTGTAATTGGACATTTAAGAGGAATAGTCTATGTCTGTATTTAGACGTTGATGAGGGAGTATATGTCTGTATTTAGACGTTGATAAGGGATTGTCTATGTCTGTATTTGGACGTTGATGAGGGACAGTTTGTGTCTGTATTTGGACGTTTATAAGGGACAGTTTGTGTCTGTATTTGGACGTTGATGAGGGACAGTCTGTGTCTGTATTTGGACGTTGATGAGGGACAGTCTGTGTCTGTATTTGGACGTTGATAAGGGATTGTCTATGTCTGTATTTGGACGTTGATGAGGGACAGTTTGTGTCTGTATTTGGACGTTGATGAGGGACAGTCTGTGTCTGTATTTGGACGTTGATGAGGGACAGTCTGTGTCTGTATTTGGACGTTGATGAGGGACAGTCTTTGTCTGTATTTCGACGTTGATGAGGTACAGTCTGTCTGTATTTGGACGTTTATGAGAACCAGTCTGTGTCTGTATTTGGACGTTGATGAGGGACAGTTTGTGTCTGTATTTGGACGTTGATGAGGGACAGTTTGTGTCTGTATTTGGACGTTGATGAGGGACAGTCTGTGTCTGTATTTGGACGTTGATGAGGGACAGCCTGTGTCTGTATTTGGACGTTCATAAGGGATTGTCTATGTCTGTATTTGGACGTTGATGAGGGACAGTTTGTGTCTGTATTTGGACGTTGATGAAAGACAGTGTGTGTCTGTTATTGGACATTTAAGAGGGATAGTCTATGTCTGTATTTGGACGTTGATGAGGGAGAGTTTGTGTCTGTATTTCGACGTTGATGAGGGACAGTTTGTGTCTGTATTTGGACGTTGATGAGGGACAGTCTGTGTCTGTATTTGGACGTTGATGAGGGACAGTCTGTGTCTGTATTTGGACGTTGATGAGGTACAGTCTGTCTGTATTAGGACGTTTATGAGAGCCAGTCTGTGTCTGTATTTGGACGTTGATGAGGGACAGCCTGTGTCTGTATTTGGACGTTGATAAGGGATTGTCTATGTCTGTATTTGGACGTTGATGAGGGACAGTTTGTGTCTGTATTTGGACGTTGATGAGGGACAGTCTGTGTCTGTATTTGGACGTTGATGAGGGACAGTCTGTGTCTGTATTTGGACGTTGATGAGGGACAGTCTTTGTCTGTATTTGGACGTTGATGAGGGACAGTCTGTCTGTATTTGGACGTTTATGAGAGCCAGTCTGTGTCTGTATTTGGACGTTGATGAGGGACAGTTCGTGTCTGTATTTGGACGTTGATGAGAGACAGTTTGTGTCTGTATTTGGACGTTGATGAGGGACAGTTCGTGTCTGTATTTGGACGTTGATGAGAGACAGTTTGTGTCTGTATTTGGACGTTGATGAGGGACAGTCTTTGTATTTGGACGTTTATGAGGGACAGTCTGTCTGTATTTGGACGTCGATGAGGGACAGCCTGTGTCTGTATTTGGACGTTGATAAGGGATTGTCTATGTCTGTATTTGGACGTTGATAAGGGATTGTCTATGTCTGTATTTGGACGTTGATGAGGGACAGTTTGTGTCTGTATTTGGACGTCGATGAAGGACAGTGTGTGTCTGTTATTGGACATTTAAGAGGGATAGTCTATGTCTGTATTTAGACGTTGATGAGAGCCAGTCTGTGTCTATATTTGGACGTTGATGAGTGACAGTTTGTGTCTGTAATTGGACGTTGATGAGGGACAGTTTGTGTCTGTATTTGGACGTTGATGAGGGACAGTCTTTGTATTTGGACGTTGATGAGGGACAGTCTATGTCTGTATTTGGACGTTGATGAGGGACAGTCTGTGTCTGTATTTGGACGTTGATGAGGGACAGTCTTTGTCTGTATTTGGACGTTGATGAGGGACAGTCTTTGTCTGTATTTCGACGTTGATGAGGTACAGTCTGTCTGTATTAGGACGTTTATGAGAGCCAGTCTGTGTCTGTATTTGGACGTTGATGAGGGACAGTTTGTGTCTGTATTTGGACGTTGATGAGGGACAGTCTGTGTCTGTATTTGGACGTTGATGAGGGACAGTCTTTGTATTTGGACGTTTATGAGGGACAGTCTGTCTGTATTTGG